GGACAGGGTTGTCCCGGCTGCTGCTGGCAAAGCTGCAGGACCACAAGAGAGGCAGAAATGTGAGGGACGGGGGTGGGGGCGGGGACAGCTGGGGAGTGCAGGACAGGGGGAGCCGGCGCCCCCTAGAGGGGACAGGCTCCTGCCCCATTCCCCGCCCCCCTGAGCCAGCCGGTCCCCGCCCTGGGGCCGGGTGGAAAAGAGCTCCACCCCCTTCCCCGTGGGCCAGCAGGGGGCGCCCTCGCGGACCGCGGCATTTACAAGCAGGTGGGTGGGTCGGCGGAGCTCATCAGCGGGAACCAGCAGTAGTCGTAGACGGTGTCTCCCTCGGCCATTCGCAGCACGGGGCTCTGCGGGGAGACAGACCCACGTGCGGTCAGGCTGCCCCTTCGGGGGGGGGGGGGGACGGGACGGACAGGATCCTGGGTTCTCTCCCCAGCTCGGGGAGGGGAGTGGGGACTGGTGGGTAGAGCAGGGGGGGGCTGGGAGCCAGGACTCCTGGGTTCTCTCCCCGGCTCGGGGAGAGGAGTGGGGGCTATTGGGGGAAAAAACGGCCCCGCACCCACACACCCATTACACCAGCACAGTTCCACGCCACACAGGGGGGAAGGTGACTGTCCCTTCAAGAGCACTCCCCCTTCCCACCCGCTCCGCCCCTTCCCCCTACCATCTCGGCCACGGCCCCCCACTCCTGGCCGTAGAGCTCAGGGGGCAGGTTGTAAATGCGCAGGGTGTTGTCGGCGCTGTTGGTCAGGAGACAGGAGCCGTCGGGGGCCCTGCGGAGAGGGGGAGGGGCAGAGCCAGGCAGTCAGGGTGCCCCTGTCCTGGCCCAGAACGGGGGAGAGAACTCAGGCATCGTGCTCCAAGCCCGCCCCCCTCCCCCGCTTTAACCACCGGACCCCACTCCCTTCCCAGAGCCAGGGAGGGAACCCAGGCGTCCTGCCTCCCTCCCCTGCTCTAACCACTAGACCCCACTCCCCTCCCGGAACTCAGCTTAAAAAAAATCTCCCGTGCCTCAGTTTCCCCTCCTACCCACGTGTATTTAGGCTGAAGGCCCTGTGGGGAAAGAACTGCCCTGAGCACCCAGCCCATTGTGGGAAGCCCCCGCCCCCATTCCAACTTGGGGTCCCCTCAATCCTCGCCAGCGGTGTCCATGCAGCACCCACTATGAAGCGTGTCTGGGACCTGCTCCTGGCCTGGGGCTCTGTCCAGCACCGAGGGGGCAGGGGCGGGGGAGGATCCGATCTCCGCAAGGGGGCTGTGTGTGACACTCAGCCGATCCCTGATCAGAGTCCCGGGATGTGACCCCAAAGATCTATGCCCCCCACCCCGTCCCCGAAACCAGGGCCCGGCCCAGCATCCTACCACTTGCAGCCCTTGAGGAAGTTCTCCGGCAGGCAGCCGTATTCGCCCCAGGCGCCCGTCAGCAGTTTGGGGGGGCCCAGGAACTCGTAGCCCGGCAGGCTGGGGGGAGAGAGAGGGGGAGACACTGCTAAAGAGGTCACCCAGCCCCTCTGGAGAGAACCCAGGCGTCCTGCTCCCAGCCTGCCCCCCTCCCTTGCTCTAACCACCAGACCCCAATCCCCTCCCAGAGCTGCAGAGAGAGCACAGGAGTCCTAGGGCCCAGCTGTCCCACTCTAACCACTAGACCCCACTCCCCTCCCAGAGCCGGGGAGAGAACCCAGGAGTCCTGGCTCCCAGCCCCCCCTGCTCTAACCCACCAGCCCCACTTCCCTCCCAGAGCCAGGCAGAGAACCCAGGAGTCCTGGCTCACAGCCCCTGCTGGCCGTTCTAAGCATTGACACATGCCCGGCCTCGAACCCTTCCAGTGGATCAGGCCACCCCGACCCAGCCCCTGCTCAGCGCCAGCGACCAGATCCAGGCGCTCCCCGCCCCACTGAGGCTCCGTGTGTGGGGGGCCCATGCCCGGCGCAACGGGGGGCCTGGTTCATCGCTCTGGCCCTTACTAGTACTCCTCTTCCCACTCCGGTCCCGGTCCCGGTCCTCCGTCCTCCGCCACTTCGTTCCCTGCTTCCGCCAGCCCCTCTCCGCCAGCCGGCTCCCAACCTGGGTCCTCCTGCGGCATGGATCCCGCCCCCGGCGCCTCGCCCCTGGGCGAGCCGTTCTGCCGGGCCAGCTTGGCGGGCGGCTCCGGGGACCCAGCAGCTCCCCCGGCCGGATCATCCACACAGGCATCGCCAGCGAGAGTCTCTGCCTCCATCGCCCGGGGGCTCAGCTGGGCAGACGTCTCTGGGGACCCCGCGTCTCTCCCGGCCGGATCATCCACACAGGCATCGCCAGCGAGAGTCTCTGCCTCCATCGCCCGGGGGCTCAGCTGGGCGGGCGGCGGGGAGCGCGGCCGGGGACGGGTCTGCTCCGGCGGGTGCTGCAGCGGCCGACGTGCCCCAGTGAGTCGAGCATCCCCAGAGCATGGGGCGGGGGCGCCTGGCGAGGCAGGAGACAAAGGGTTAATGGCGGGAGAAGAACCCAGGAGTCCTGGCTCCCAGCCCCGCCCCCCCAGACCACGTGTCCCTCTTCCCGGCTGGAATCTGGGCTCTTACCCCGGAGAGCGGGGGAAGGAGAAGGGTGTTGGGGTGCATGGACGGGACCACTCTCTGTCGGGGGGGGGGGGTAGATGGACGGGACCACTCTCCCGTGGGGGGGGTTACATGGACGCGCCCACTCTCTCCCGTGGGGGGGTAGATGGACGGGCCCCGTTACCTCCCAGGTTCTCACTCCGACAACACGAGCAGCTCAATCGGTGGAGGCGGCCATGACAGCACCAGGCTCCGCCCCTCGGGGAGATCTCGCGAGACTTGCCTGGAAACTCCGCGAGACCTGAAACCCTTGCTCTCACGACGCCACCGCCCACCCCAGCTTCCCCCACATACCGCGAGATCTGAGCTGCTGGCCACACTCCTCCGCAAATCCCGCGAGATCTCAGGCCTTGGCCACACTCCTCCAAATCCGCCCCCCCAGCTCTGCCGGTGCCCCTCACTCCCGACCCGCAGCCCCTGCCCCCCCAGCCCTGCCCCCCCCATCGCTGCCGGTGCCCCTCACTCCCGACCCGCAGCCCCTGCCAGCCCGGCCCTGCCCCCCCCATCGCTGCCGGTGCCCCTCACTCCCGACCCGCAGCCCCTGC